AAGGACATAGAGACCAACAGAATATAATAGAGAGCCCAGAAACAAACCTCCACACATATGGCCAGATGATTTTCAACAAAGGTGACAAGACCACTCAATATGGATAAGGGCAGTCTCTACCACAAACAGTGCTGGAAAACTTAATATGCTCAAGCAAAAGAATAAAGTTTGGTTCCTAACTTATAAACTAAATTAAACACCTAAGCTTAAGAGCGAAACTATAAAATTCTTAGGAGAAAAAAAGAAAAATCTTTATGACATTAAATTTGGCAATGATGTTTTTAGGTACGACATCAAAAGCACAAGCAGCAAAAAAATTGATAAATTGGCTTCATCAAAATTAAAAACTTTTGTGCATCAAGAGACATTACCAAGGGCCTTTGGTTGGTAGCTCAGTTGGTTGGAGCATTGTCCCATACACCAATAGGGTTGCAGGTTCGATTTCCAGTCAGGGCATATAACAAAGTTGTGGGTTTGATCCACGGTTGGAGCATGTAATGAAAGGCAACCAACTGATATTTTTCTCTCACCCTGATGTCCATCTCTCAGTCCCTCCCTTCCTCCCTAATCAATGAACATATACTTGGGTGAAAAAAGAAAATTAATTAATTTTTTAAAAAGATGCTATCAGGGAGGGGACTTCCGGCCAAGATGGAGGTGTAGGTGAAAATAATGTACCTCCTCACACAACCAAATTTAAGGACAACAAAGATTTAGAAACAAAAACACAACCAAAACAGACAGAAAACTGAACTATACCGAAGTCGTACAACAATGCACCATTCATCCAAACGGGTAAGAGGAGTGGAGTTGGCAGCCTGGGGAGAGGGGTCCTGGCAGGAAGAGCTGCTGGTTAGCAGAACCGGGTTTGGGGAGGAAATGAGCAAACCCAGTGAGATGTGCAAGGTGGTTGGCCGACCCCAGAGACACATTTGCACGCAGATAAACCAGGCCAAAATAAGGGCAGTGAGACAGACTATGCAACCCAGGGCCCCAGCCATGGGAAACAAAGCGTAAAAGCACCAATTAAAAAACCTTTTGGGGGTTGGAGGTGCTGGGAGAGGATCCCACCCTCACAGGAGAGTTCACTGGAGAGACCCACAGGGTCCTAGAATGTACACAAGCCCACCCACCCTGGAGCCAGCACCAGGAGGGCCCAATTTGCTCATGGGAAGCAGCAGAGAGGACCGAAATCCGAGAGAGAGCTGAACAAGCGCAATTCCTCCCTCTCTGACCCCAACCCCACATACAGCATCACAACCCAGCAACTGGGTTGCCTTGCCCTGGTGAACACCTAAGGCTCTGACCCTCACTACAAAACAGGAATGAACAGACCAAAACATTACGGCTCAAACAGAAGAACAAATCAAAGCCCCAAAACCAATACTTCTAAGCAGCCAAGAGATAGCCAACCTATCAGATGCACAATTCAAAACACTGGTGATCAGGATGCTCACAAAACTGGTTGATTTTGGTCCCAAATTAGATGAAAAAATGAAGGTTACACTAAGTGAAATGAAAAAAAATGCACAGAGAGCCAATAGTGATGGGAAGAAAACTGGGACTCAAATCAGTGGAGTGGACCAGAAGGAAGAAACAACCAAACAGAAAAGAATGAAGAAACAAGAATTCAAGAAAATGAGGAGAGGCTTAGGAACCTCCAGAACATCTTTAAACATTCCAACATCCTAATTATAGGGGTACTAGAAGGGGGAAAGGAACAGCCACCAGTGGAAAACTTATTTGAACAAATAATAAAGGAGAATTTCCCCAATCTGGCAAAGGCAATAGACTTCCAGGAAATCCAGAAAGCTCAGAGAGTCCCAAAGAAGTTGGACCCAAGAAGAAACACACCAAGGCACATCATCATTACATTAGCCAAGAGTAAAATGAAGGAGAGAATTCTAGAAGCAGCAAGAGATAAGGGGACAGTCACCTACAAAGGAGTTCCCATCAGACTGTCAGCTGATTTCTCAAAAGAGACCTTACAGGCAAGAAGGGGCTGGAAAGAGGTATTCCAAGTCATGAAATCCAAAGACCTACAACCAAGATTGCTCTATCCAGCAAAGCTTCATTTAGAATGGAAGGGCAGATAAAGTGCTTCTCAGATAAGGTCAAGTTCAAGTAGTTCATCATTACCAAGCCCTTATTATATGAAATGTTAAAGGGACTTGTCTAAGAAAAAGGAGTTAAGAAATATGAACAGTGAAAGGACAGCAAATTCACAGTTATTAACAACCACATCTAAAACAAAAGCAAACTAAGGAGACAGCTAGATCAGGAGTGGAGCCACAGAAATAGAGATCATATGGAGGGTTAGTAATAGGGGAGTGGGAGGAGGAGAAGGGGGTAGAAGATACAGAGAATAAGTAGCATACACAGTGGGGAGAAAATAGACAGGGGGAGGGCAAGAGTAGTGTGGGAAATGTAGAAGCTAAAAAACTTATGACACATGGACATGAACTAAAGGGGGGGAATGTGGGAGCAGGGGTTGTGCAGAGTGGAGGGAAATGAAGGGGTGGAAATGAGACAACTGTAATGGCATAATCAATTAAATATATTTTTTAAAAAGATGCTATTAAGAGGATGAAAGCCCTGGCTGGTGTAGCTCAGGGGATTGAGCGCAGGTCTGTGAACCAAAGGATCGCAGTTCAATTCCCAGTCAGGGCACATGCCTGAGTTGCTGGCCAGTTCCCAGCAGGGGACGCACTAGAGACAATTATAAACTGATGTTTCTCTACCTCTCTTCTTCCCCTCTAAAGATAAATAAAAATTTTTAAAAAGTTAAAAAAAAAAATGAAAAGACAGTCTAGGGAATGGGAGAAAATATTTGCCAATTATGTATTAGAAAAGGGATCGATATCTAGAATATACAAAGAACTCCTACAACTCAACAATAAAAACCCCAAATGATCTGATTCAATGTACACAGGACTTGCACAGATCTTTCTCCATAGAAGACATACAAATGGCCCATAAACATATAAAAAGATGCTCAAGAACACTTATCATTAAGAAAATGCAAATAAAAACCACAACAAGAATACCACTTTACACCCATTAGGCTGGCTCTGACAAAATAGAAAAAAACCCACCCAAAATAAAAAATGGATATAGAGAAATTGGAAGCCTTGTACATTGTTGTTGGAAATGTAAAATGGTGCAACTGCTATAGAAAAAAAAAAATGCCCTTCAAAAAATTAAACACAGACTTACCATACAATCCAGCAACTCCACTTACAGGTTATACTTAAGAGAACTGAAAGTAAGGACTGGGACTGATATAACAGATGTTGTATACCGTTCTTCACAGAAGCATTATTCATAATAACCAAAAGTTGGAAACAACCCAAGTGTCCATCCATAGAGAAATAGATACGTAAAATGTGACAAATACATAAAATGGAGTATTCCTTATAAAGGAATAAAATCATGACACATGCTATAACATAGATGAACCTTGAGGACATTATGCTATGTGAAATAAGCCAGGCAAAAGGGGTAAATTTTATGATCTGCTTAAATGAAGTACCTATAGTACTCCAATTCACGGAAGTAGAAGATAGAATGGTGGTTCCTACAAGTTGAGGGGAGTAGGAAACAGCATGTTACTATTTAATAGGGACAGAATTTCAGTTTGGAATGATGAAAAACTTCTAGAGCTATATATTGATGATAGTTGCATAACAATGTGACTGTTTCTTTCCATTCCAGTAATCTTGTCACCAGTAAAGACCAGCTCATAGACATGCTCTACAGTCTATAGGAAAAACACACAAATTATACTTCTACACCTGCCTTGAAAGCACCTGGAGGCAAACTGGCTTTGGAATGGGATAGCCCTCACATTTCCCACAACCCATTCAAATGTCTAAGTAAACAACCATATTAGGTGATTCATAACTGTAACTGCCAGCATATTCCTTAATCATTTCTGAAGAACAGTTATTTAATTGTTCTGGTACCAAGAGCATCTGCAAGTAAACAACATAACTGTGAGAACTACTCATGGGATTGATATACAGGTATAGTACAGGTAACTGGCATGTTTCATTCTAAAGAAAACCTTATGCCTGACAGATTTTATTAGCTCAACCAAACTGAATGCAAATAATAACAGTAATAATAGAATCCAAAATAAAGGAGAGTTAATCCCAGTTATAAAAACAAGAGTCATGACTCAAGTTAGGCACACCTGAACCTTGAGATGTTATTTATGTTGATTCTTTCAGAACTAGTCTTTCTGTGCATCACTGCTGTGAATAATTTGACACTATCCAACAGTTATGCCAGAAAACAAAAGGAATAAAAACAAGTCTTTGAAAGTATTGATATCTGACTTACAAGGCATTAACTGACAAGAATCAGGCTTCAGTATTTAAACTTAAATTTGATAGTTAAGAAGCTCAAAATACTGATCTAGCTCAAAACAACAATTATACTGCTATGTGATAAGCCTGCTATTACGTTCTTTATTAGTATTTGTCATTTTACTTTTAGTATGCTTGACAGATTAATTTTTCAAAATGTGTATTATAAAATAAATAAGAATATAACTATACTTCTTTCAAGATATTCCATCATATAAGATTCACTGATTTATACAGGAGCGTTCTTCCTTTATTTATTCCAAATAATTGCAAATTCCAAAAGCCAATGAAAACCTTTTTTGTTTAAAAACTTCAGGGAAAGAATGTAATGTTAAATCCCCAAATTAACATGAGCTTCACTTTTTCATATACTTAAAAAAAAAATTTATTTATTCATTTTAGGGAGAGAGAATGGGGGAAGGAAGGCAAGAAAGAAAGATGGAGGGATAGAGGGAGAGAGAGAAACATCAACTTGTCGTTCCATTTATTTATGAATTCACTGGTTGATTCCCGTATGTGCCCCATGTGGGGACTAATCTGGCAACCCTGGTGCATCTGGATGACACTACAACCAACTAAGCTACCCAGGCAGATCCATATATGTTTAAATTTAAAGACTTTAGACATTACCTTGAAATGTTTAAATGTGTGCTTACGATATTCACACCACTCCACAAAAAAGTGTAGGCTTCGAAAAAACATAAACAGATCTCTTCTTTCTTCTGCTCTGTAGAAATAAAAAATTTCTATGATTAATAAATATTACTAAATGAGAGGTCCAACCTGGCTTTACTGTTTGTTATACATCCTTCACTAAAGCTAAAAAAATATTTGATATATTTCTACATACTAAACTCTGCACTTTTTAGTATGTGTTTGCTAATACTACTTTCTCAGACTGGAATGCCCTTGTCCCCACCTCCAAATGTTTAAATCCTACCCATCTTTCAAGGCACCATATTGTGCTTGAAATTTTATTTGATAACTGTGGTATAATAAAGAATATATATCTTGCCCTGGCTGGTGTGGCTCAGTGGATTGAGCGCTGGCCTGGGAACCAGAGGGTCACTGGTTCAATTCCCAGTCAGGGCACATGCCTAGGTTGCAGGCCAGTTCCCAGCAAGGGACACACCAGAGGCAACCACACACTGATGTTTCTCTTCTTCTCTTTCTCCCTCCTCTCCCCTCTTGAAAAAGAAATAAAAACTTTTAGAAAAAGAATATATAGCTTGTCTTTATCTCCAGTTGTTGACATAAAATCTCAAAAACCCTTAAAAATCCTGAGTCACAAGAGCCCCTTTGTTATCTTAATAGTGACTCAAGGTGATCCCTAGATAATCTCGGAATAGGGACAAGTCACCAGAAAGACCAACCACTTGATTAAGGAGATTGGTACTTTGACCCAACCAGACCTCCAGGAAGAACAGGGAGGGGTGGGAAAAACCCAATCACACAGAAAATTATTTAATGATAGCCATGTAAGGAAACAACAATAAAGAATCTGGACAACAAAGCTTAGGGTAGCTTCCTGGTTGGTGAACACGTTGATGTGCTAGGAGGCTAATGTACATGGATTTCGCAAGAAAGGGCAAAAGCTCTATGTTCCTCTTCAAGACCCTACCCTCACCATGTCCCAGACCACAGTCTATTCATTCCTTCCATGTGGCTATTTCTATATTGTAACGTTTACAATGAAACTACAATTTTTAGCATAGCATCTTCAGTGACTTCTCTTGAGTTTTAGCAAATTAAAACATTTGAGGGGACTGTGCAAACACCCATATTATTGCTAAGTAGGTCAGATATGTAGGTGGCATATGACATAGAGCAGTCTTGTGGATGATTTTGCCCTTACCCTGTGGGTCTATGCTAAATCTGGGTAGTGTCAGGATTGAATCAAATTAAAGGACACCCAGTTGGTGTCAGAAAATTATTGAATGAACAATGCCCCCACCACATGTCCTATTCCAGAAATCACTAAAAATAATTTTATTCCTATGCCTATGAGCTTCCACAGGAATTTAATTTTCTTAATACTATGCCTATTGTTATATTGACACCCACAAACACAAGCAACTTTTAGGCAAGACATGTGTATTCATTTAATCATTTGTTTAATAAATATGGGAATAAAGTTCTCATTCTAGACATGATGGATTTAAAAGCACATTCCCCCCAAAGACTCCCATTAATTACAATTTCAAACCATTGGCTAAAAAATAAAGCAAGTATTGAAAAACTCTGAAACATGAAGAGAAGAAGGCAGAATGGGTGAAACTTCAGAAATTAAGGAATGATTGAGTGTTCATTTCCTTGGGTTTATTTTCACCTCCGGTATATACCAAATAAACACAAGAGGAGACTGCAACCCAGAAGGACTATAGGGTAGAATTAAAAAGTAACATAGAAGGCCCAGGGAAACATTGCTACTTTCTAGCCAACAGAGGTCAGGTAAGATGAGAGAGAAAGGACATTGGTCTTGATAATGATTGTTTTGATTTGACACCAAAAGTCAAAGCAACAAAAGCAAAATAAACAAGGGACTACATCAAACTAAAAAATTTCTGCAGAGCAAACAAAACCATCAACAGAATAAAAAGGCAACCTATCGAAGGGAAGAAAATATCTGCAAAGCATGTATCTGACAGGGTTAATATTCAAAATATATAAAAAACTCATACAATACAATAGCAACAAAAAAAAACCCCAAACAATTTACTTAAAAAATGGGCAGAGTACCTAAATAAACATTTTTCCGAAGAAGACATACAGATAGACAATAGGTTTGGAAAAAGGTGCTCAACATCATTAACCATCATGGAAATGCAAACCAAAACCTCAAAGAAATTATTAACTCACACCTGTCAAAATGGCTATTATCAGAGATAAGAAACAACAAGTGTCAATGAGAATGTAGAGAAAGCCAACTTTAAGCCAACATTCAGCACTTGATAATGTGGTAGTAGAATGAGCAGAGAAAAAAATGTTAAAACTACAATAGCAAAAATTTAAACACAAACACACTAAAGGAACTCAGCGAGAAGGAAAGAAAAAGACTGTTGTTACATAAATTTTTAGAAAGAACTTTATTTCAAAGTGGACTAACTGATCCCTGGCCAGGGGTCTCAGTTGGTTGAAGCATTGTTTTGTACACCAAAAGGTTGCAGGTGTGATCCCCAGGGAACTTGTGGGAAACAACAGATCAACGTTTCTCTCTCACAATATTTCTCTCCCTCTCCCCTCTCTCTCCTCTCCCTCCTCTCCCTCCCCTCCTCTCCTTCCTCCCTCTTTCCTTTTCCCTTCCTTCCCCCTTGTCCCCCCTTTCCTTTCTCTCTAAAATCAATAAACACATCCTCTAGTGAGAATTTCTTTTAAAAAGTAGGTCATTAAAAATAGTGGACTGAGTCTCATTCATATCTCCATAAAGTGTACTCAATTACAGTATATACAGCTTCCCATTATAGAAAGGTGTACCTCTAGCTGTATATGTAATTTATTTATGTTTCCCAAGCACAGTCCAAATGTTATTAATGCAAAACAGATGTTACAGATTTCTTTTACAAAATGCTAGCAGTGACACATGTCAATGTCAACTAATCAGAAACATAAAATAACCCCAAATGCCTCTTTCTTAATTATAAAGCAAAACAGAACTTCAAAATAAAAATTCTAAACTTTTATTTCAAAAACAAGTTCTGAGCAATATTAAGTCTACATCCAGGTGAATATCAAAAGTTAATTAACTAAAATATTATCGGTCACTTTCACGCATTGCTGGTGAAAGGGGTTGTGAAATGGTATGGTTGCTCTGACTAAGTTTGCAGTTTATTATAAATTTAAACATATACTTACTATATCACCCAGCAATCCTACTTCTGGTTATCTTCCTTAGAGAAAGAAAACTGACACACACACAAAAAACCTCTAACGAATGTTTACAGCAGCTCTATTAAGAAACATAAAAACCAATAATAACCAAATGTTTCCCAATGAGTAAATGAACAAACTGGTATACATACAATGGAATACTACTTTGAAGTGAAAAGATGGATGAATTTCAAAGGCATTATGCTAAGTAAAGCAGCTGGTCTCAAAAAGTTACACTGTGATTTCATTTATTTGACATTTTGTAAAAGGCAAAACTCTAGTACAAAGATGTGAGCATGTTTTGCCAGGCATTTACAGTGAAGGAGGCAGTGTGACTATAAAATGAGAAGATGAGAGATATATTCCTATTTATGGAATGGTTCAATATCTTCATTGTGGTGGTGAACACACAAAAAAAGCCCAATATAAATAAAATAAAAAGGGAAACAGGGAAAAAAATGACAGAGCCTCAGAAATATGTAGGGCAACAACCAAAAAGTTTTACATTTTTCTGATCAGAGACACAGCAGCAGAGGAGAAAAAGTATTGAGCAAAATATATTTTATATATATATACACACACACATATATATATACACACACACGCACACATGTATACACACACACATATACATATATATAATGAAATACTAAATGAAAAGCTTGCCAAATTTGGTAAAAAAGTCTTTTTTAAACATACAAATTGAGGATTTGGACTTCTGCCAAGATGGAGGCATAGGTGGATAAGCCATGCCTTCTCACACAACCAAGTTTAGAGACAACTAAATATTAGCAACAGAAAACACAGCCAGAACACAGAAAATTGAACTTTTCGGAAGTCTGTTAACAACAAATTCTTCAGCCTGACCGGTAAGGGGTGAAACCAGCAGCTGGTGGAGCAGGGTTGCACAGGAAAACTCGGTCAGATGGATTCAGGCGCGCAGAATCCAGGCGCAGGGTTGGACCTGGTGAGCGACGGAGCGAGCGAGTGAGCCACCAACAGAGCAACCTCGGGGAAACAGCGAGGGAGCAGGGCTGCAGGGTTGACTGTGGTCGTGCAGTGTTGCGCGGATAGATAAGTGAGGGAGTGGGCGATAGGACCAGGTCCCAGCTGTCCCCTCGGCAAGCGGCAGGGAGGGCGCCGCCATTTCCCAGCTCTGACCCCACCTCCACATAGAGCGTCATACCCAGCGACTCTGAGTGGCCCGGCCCAGGTGAACCACCTAAGCCTCTGCTCCTCACGCAGTGGAACAAAACAGCTGAGGGTGGCACCATTTCCCCGCTCTGACCACGCCCCCACATACAGCGTCACAACCCAGTGACCTGGGAGTCCAAGGCTCCGCTCATCACGCTTTGGCCCGAACAGACCAAAAATGGCTCAAGAAGATGTCAAAGCCCCAGAGCCTATAAATCTAAGCAATGAAGAAATAGCAAAACTCTCAGACGCACAGTTTAAAACACTGGTCATCAGGATCCTCACAGAACTGGTTGATTATAGGCACAAATTAGACAAATATATGAAGGTGAAACTAATTGAAATGAATGGAATTGCACAGGACACCAATAGCAATGAAAAGGAAACTGGGACTCAAATCAATGGAGTGGACCAGAAGAAAGCAAATAATGGCCAAACAGAAAAGAGTCAAGAAGCAAGAATTCAAAGAAATGAGGAGAGTCTTAGGAACCTCCAGGACATCTTTAAACGCTCCAACATCCGAATTATAGGGGTACCAGAAGGGGGAAAGGAACAGCCACCAGTGGAAAACTTATTTGAACAAATAATAAAGGAGAATTTCCCCAATCTGGCAAAGGCAATAGACTTCCAGGAAATCCAGGAAGCTCAGAGAGTCCCAAAGAAGTT